CCCAACAGACCTGGTTCATACTAAACAAGAACACCATTTGCTTTACTGTGCAGGAATCTTAAACTCAGAGGTACATTTCACATTTTTAAGAATGTGTCATGAATTTGGAAAGAAATTGGCAGCAATTTAATTATTCACAAGATGGCTGCCACAGTGGATGGGGGCAATCGCATAAGGCCCATTCACCAGGGGCATGGCTCCTCTATACCAGTTGACAACAACGAGCTGTTGTTTTCACCGTCTGCTTAGGGACTTGCACAGGGCATGGTGAAAAATGGGTTTGATGCAGCAGAAACTCTCTTAATGCATTCCATACTCAAAACTCAGCGGTGAATGTTTAATTTTCATATACAGAAACAGTATACAGAAGAAGCCTGTGGGGCAGTATATGAAGATACCTGTATTCTACCCACAAGGAAACTTTACAAAGCATTGAAATTAGAGTTTGTTCATCCTTCCCCCATTATGGTGCCTTTCAGATAGAAGTCATAGTCTGGGACATCTAGAAGGCATCAAACAGGGGAAAGTTGTGTGAGTGGAAAAACATCTAGTCTCCAACCTCGGTAACTTTTTAAGACTCGTGGACTTCAACTCCCAGAATTCCCCAGCCAATATAGCTGGCTGAGGAATTCTAGGAGTTGGTTCACAAATCTCAAAGTTGATAAAGTTGGAGATCCCTGATCTAGTGGATATGGGGTTAGGATTAATATTAGGGTTAGGGTTAACTTAACAAAAGAAAGGAGAGATCAGTGGCTCAAAATGAAAGTGGCAGAGCTCTGTCAAATTTTGAAGGAATGTTAGATGCACAAATGGTAACTGAGCTCTGGAGAGCCACATGGTAAAATAAACAGGATTGAAAGGTCAACAAATTTTATTTGGGCAAAAAAGAGCTGCAGGTTTTCACATTTATCAGGTTGGGTTCAGGACTGGTCCAAAACATTTTGCTTTAGAAGAGAAGCAACAAATGGTTCCTCATCCCCACAAATCAAAGTGCATAGTGCCAAAAGGGCTATGTTAATTTGGCTCATTGGGCAGAAAATCCCACATTCATGTTTTCTCATCCAGGGCAGAAAAATGTTATAATAGCAAGTTAAATAACTGAATAATTTGTTGTTCTTTCCCAGTGCCCAGGCTTTGCTATCTCCTTTGACTGAATGATAGAGCTGTTCCTATTTACTGTACGTTTGGGAGGAATGGAAAATGCAGCCTGGGTTGGTCATTCAGTGTGATTATGAAGTAGTTAGCCAAGAGTGAGGGGGATTTGCAACCACATTTGCCTCTCTCCTCAGCTGTAGCAGGGTGGGAATAGCTAAAACATTGCTAAAACATTGTTTTAACAATGAAATACAATAGCATGCTAATGAAAAACAGGGAGAATAATAACATCTTAAATCACAGAGGCCAAGAGCACAAATAGTATGAAAAAAAAATCTCTCCACTGTGAAAATAATTAACATAGTTGTGTATGTTGTAAAAATTCATCAAAGGGCTACACATGAAGATTTGAAAAGCAAGAAGGCAACTGCACAACAGAGAAGCAATCCAACCAACTTCTGTAGTTGGGAAGGTTTGTTTTCTATTCTTTGAATGTGCCTCTAATGAAAGCTCACTCTTTTGAAGCTTCCTTTGTTAACATTCACTTAAAGGACATTAGCTAAATTGAAACTTGTTAAATTAGTTTAGTGTGCAGCTGTTCTTATGGACTATTGATGCTGACTGTCAGTCCTCACCAATCCGTGCTAAGTGCATTAAAATTCCATAGCCCAGAATTCACAGCCAACACATCTGGAAGATGATAGGCTATGATATGGGATGTATATACAGCATTTGCAAAATATTGACTATAATCCCAATGTACAATCTTATATCTATTGTTTTGCATCTGTCTATGAAGTTGTCTCAGTAAGCACCCTCAATTTTATTACCACAGCAAAATGTTTGGCTTTTGATTGAATGCTCTGACTCTTATAAACTAGAATGGAACCATTCTATTTTAATTATCTATCTGCTGCAAAGATTGCATTTATGTTCATTGTACTGTTAAGTGGAAGCTTCTCTCTCTGAACCCTCAGGGAATCTATTTAATTTGCCAATGATATTTTACAGATCAAAGGTGAGGCATGTGCTTTGGAATGTCAGAATGGAAATATTCTTAGAAGATCTATTGCTTTATTTTGCATTAATATTGCACTGCTGTCTGATTGATCTTGGGCAGTATTGACATCTTGCTATAAAGAACACTTGCAATTCAATAGAAAAACTGAGATTTTGGATAAGAAGAATGGGATAAGCAACAAACACACTACATAAAAAGGAATTTATATAACTTTGTTGATATGTTAGAATCCAAGGGAAATAACCAAGACTTATCTCATCCTAATAATCAGAATGCTTTCCAAAATACTGTACTACCTTTATAACATTCAGTTGAAAGGCAGAGTACTGAGCCACATTATCATCAACATATAAAAATATTTGTTTTATTTATATATTATCAACTACTTTGATATAATGGTTAGGGTATCAGGCTAAAAATTGGGAGACTATGAGTTCTACTCCTACCTTTAGACACAAAGCCAGCTGGGTGACCTTTGTTCAATCATACTCTCTCACTTTAAGAAGGAGAGAATGGCAAACCACTTCTGTAATCTTGCCAAGAAAACTGCAAACTTGCCCATGCAGTTGCCAGGAGTCAACAATGATTCAAAGGCATTAGGAGTGCAGTTTGGTGTAGTGGTTAAGGCATCAGGCTGGAAACCAGGAGATCATGAGTTCTAGTCCCACTTTAGGCACAAAGCCAGCTGGGTGACCTTGGGCCTGTCACACACTCTCAGCTCTGGAATAGTAAACCATTTTCCAAAAAAACTTGCCAAGAAAACTATGTGGACTGATCCAGGCAGTCATCAGGAGTAAACCATGACTTTCAGGCAGAAAAATATCTACACAATTTCAACCAGCTGTGGGGTTCAGCTGTGGTGGGGTTTGTTATTAACCTGGCAAATATGGCATCTTAGCTTTCTAAGCAAAAAATAGATGTAGGGTTAATGCTTTATTTTATGGCAGCTGAAGATCATTATGATAAGGGCTAATCATGCCATGCCATCAGGTCTACATTTTTACTCTTTTACTCCCCCCCTTTTTTTATTCCTTTTGAGTTGTTAAAATAAAATTAAAGTAGATACTGGAGACTCAACATGCTTTCTTTATCGTATTTTGGAAACCAAATGCTGTCAAAGGAGTAGAGCAAAATCTCAGATGCCACAAAGTGTCAAACACACCATCCACTCCTATTGTATAGACTGGAACACATTCACAGGTGCAACTTCCTTATCATCTACAAAAGGATTAACAGAGGGTTCCTTATACTTCCCAAGGGTTACATTTAATCTTTTTGCCACTTCAGCTTGTTGATGTCATCAGAAAAATCTATTTTAATTGCCTGGGAAAGCTTCTTTCTAGAAGCCAGAATAGAAAGTTGTGATAAAAGTTTTATTGTAAAAAAATTCCTTGGGTTTTATAAATGTGTTCTGTAAATGAGTAATTCATACAAGAAAGTTCCTGCCTTAGCACACAAAACACCTGTAAACTGATACAATAGAAAAACAGCATTTGCTCCAGATGTTTCATTTATTGATCCTGACATGGTTTTTGAGTTTTTAATCTATCACATGGGTGTCAAACTTGCCACGTCACATGATGTGTTGTGACATATCATGACTTTTTTTGTGGCACGGCCTCCGCATGATACAACCAGCCCACCAGCTGGCAGTTTGACACCCCTGATCTATCATAAGGCTTGCTCTGGAGAACATCATTAATACTCAAGGTTTCTCACTAACCTTATGAAAAGAGTAATCTGAATAATAAAATGTAATGAGAAATAAACATTTCTATGGATGTTTAATCTATTTCCTCAAACTGACCTTGAGTTTCATTTTGCCAAAATTCAAGAGTTTCAAAGTTTGTGAAACTTTCCTTCCGAGGTAGCTCACATGAAGCAAAGCCATTTGCAGTGATGAATTATTTTCTATCACTGCTGCAATGCCAAGGCTAGAGCCTTGTAGATAGGGAGCATCTGAGCCATATCTCATTTAGCCATAAACCTAGTAAATGTGCTGCTGATACAGACTCAGAATGCTCAGAGCTCCTACCAATTCATCAGTCTATCCCAGCCTCAAGTTACAAACTCTTGCAGAATGTTCCTCCCGGCAAAGGATTTGATAAGTGGGTTATATGACCCTTTGACTCAACTATGTAAAGAAATGTATCTCTGGAAAGTAATGAAACTCTCTTTAAAAGCAGCATGGTTCATTTTTTGGGACCTCATGTGTTATGTAACAACCCCATAGGCCTTAGTGTACTGTATGAATGCAGCCTTTCTGTATGCCTTGAAATACATATGCCTAAAAATGTAAAATCACTTTCAAAAGTGCTTGGACCTCCCTGCAAGATTTCTTCCATCAGATTTCCTTATGTACTTAAGCATTTTCCTCTATCATATCCTTCAGTATGCTTCACTGAAGATGATGATGATGATGATGATGATGAGGAGGAGGAGGAGGAGGAGGATGAGGAGGAGGAGGAGGAAAAGAATTGTAATGACAAGGCCCACTGCAACCCTCTTGATGTACAGGTAGTCCTTCAAAGTGGCAATGAAAACAGTGACTTATAATTGGTCCTCACATGTATAATCAACCTACTATTCCCAAAGTCAGGTGATCAAAATTTGGGTGCTTGGAACTGGTGTATATTTACGAGGGTTGCAGTATCCCTAGGTAATGTGATCACCATTTATGACCTTCCCAGCTGGTTTCCAACAAGCAAAGTCAATGAGGGTAACTGGACTTGTTTAATAACTGCACAATCTACTTAACAACTGTGGTGATTTGCTTAATGTCCAAAGCAAAAAAGGTGGTAAAACAGGGCAGGACTCAGTGAACAATCAATTTGCTTAGCAATGGAAATTCTGATCCCAAATATGATTGTAAGTTGAGGACTACCTGTATCTGAATTGGTTCAGGGCCCCAAATCTTTCATCTCTCAGGTTTGTGCAAAAGAGCTGATTCGTTGAAGATCAGTTCATATTAGCCCATCTGAAGATTAATGCCAGATGAAGGAAAGCCTCCCGCAACTCAAGGAGAAATGGATGCATTCTGCAATAGTAAAACATCCATTGTAAATAAAAGGTCCTTTGAAGCTTTGATTTTAAGTGAAGATTTGAACCCCCAGATGAGTCTCTTCCCACTCCTGCCTTTCAAGGGACCCCCTAGGACTCCAGCTGAAAAAGGCAAAGTTTTACCTAAGTCCCCTCTAGATTGGAACAATGGGAAAATATGTGGCTAAAAGATTTGAAATTTATATTATTTTATAAATAATATAGTAAAATGCTTGGTAAAAAAGAAGAAGGGACATTTTACCATGCTTGGTAAAAGCATTTTATCATGCTTTTCTATTCTGCTGCCTCTAGGTATTGCAATGTTCACTATCCAGACATTGTCTTTGTCTTTCTTATCAACAATTGTTAAATCTGGAGTGTTGTGTGGCAGGTGCTTGTCTGTTTGAATTCTAAAATCCCAGAACACTTTAGCTTCTTCATTATTATTATGCACTCTGGGTTGCACAAGCATAAACTATGTCTAACATAAATTAAATAGTGGGAAAAGTTGCATACTCCTGGTTTGCTACATGAGGCCTTTTTATTGACTAGAGTAATCTCCATAGTCCCAAAATTCTGGAAGATCTGACTGGAAAATGTGGTCTTAGATAGCAAAGGGCTCTTATGTAGCACAGCAAGTGTGTGCAACATTTCTCCCATGGGTACTAGTAAGATCTTCCTTGGCTGAGAAAAATACTTGAGAAGTGATCTGGAGTTAAGTCCAACAGCTTCCCTGGAGTTCTTCCCATATCCTGACCAAGCAGTTTTGCAAACAGCTCCATTCAAGACAGAATGATAGGTTCAGAGGCAGCCATGGCCCATCACGAACATTTTGGCAGGCAGGCCACAAACTGAGCCAAACAGCTGGAAAGAAAACAACAAAGGAAGAGTTTTGTCCCCGTGTTCTCCTAAAACACAGCAACAGAAAAAAAACAAGAGCTGACTTTTTCAGAACTAAACTTTCTGGCCAACAAGACAGTATCAGGGGTAGGGAGGGGGCTGAATAAAAAAACTGTAATTTCTTCCATTCCCATCTGCCTCAAAGCCACAAAATGGAACTTTGGAGGACAAAATAACATTCCATCAGTGATAGTCAGAGGGCAGCTGCTGGATGAGGGTGAGGTATTATAGTCAGCAATCCCAATTCAGCCCATTATTTTTGCCATGCACTACTTGAACTCTATCAAACAAATTTTTTTCACACTCCTAGAATTATGGTTTTTTTTAAAAAAATATTTTCACTCTGGTATACTATCTCATTGAACTTTACTTTCTTCTTTGTCTTTACAGCTGCGGAGCAGAGTTCCCTCTTGGATTTTCTATACCTGTAGTCCTTGACTTACTAACAATTCATTTAGTGACTGTTCAAAATTACATATTGCATCTAGTTTTCGTTGCCACAATATAAAAAAGATGTTGAGACTCTAGAAAGAGTACAGAGAAGAGCAACAAAGGGGGGGGGGGAACTGAGGGATAAAACATACGAAGAACAGTTGCAGGAATTGGGGATGTCTAGTTTAATGAAAAGAAGGACTAATTGTGACATGATAGCAGTGTTCCAATATCTCAGGGGTTGCCACAAAGAAGAGGGAGTCAACCTATTCTCCAAAGCCCCTGAAGGCAGGACAAGAAGCAATGGATGGAAACTAATCAGGGAGAGAAGCAACCTAGAACTAAGGAGAAACTTCCTGACAGAACAATTAACCAGTGAAATGTCTTGCCTCTGAAATCTATGGGTGCTCCAACACTGGAGGTTTTTAAGAAGAGATTGGACAACCATTTGTCTGAGCAGGGGATTGGACTAGAAGACTAGAAGACCTCCAAGGTCCCTTCCAACTCTGTTCTTCTGTTATTGCCTAAATACCACTATATGTTCATGCAGTTAATTCAGAACAAAGTTTATGATCAATCAGCTTGCATAAGCAACACTTTATAAGCATCAGGGAAAGAGATTTTGTCAGATAGCTAAGCCAGAAAGAAAGAAAGTATAGATTTAGTTATTAAAATTTATTCCTTTCCTCCTGCAAACTGGTAAATTTACATAGGCAAATTTGGAACAAATTGTGACAGCTGGCTGGACTCAGGCCCTTTCTGTGATGATCTCTACCTTCCAAGACTTTTATAAAGAGGCCAGAATCTTGGAATGAAGTGAAAAACTGAGACAATTCAGGTTACAATGGAATATTTTCCCTTTGTTGCCAGAGACTCTTATCTCCCAAGGCACAAGCTTGAAAACATAATCAGTAAAGGAACTACAAGACTTGATGTTGCTATGCTTTAAATAATGGGGTTATTGAAATTTGTATTTCTTGGCTTGAAAATATGCATTTCAGCAGCTTACTATGCTCACCTCAAAGAAGTACAAGCAAGTTTTATTACGGTCCAACAGTTTTTCTTTGGGTCAGATTTTAAGTAAAATTAATAGCCAAGTCAGAAAAAAGTTTGCTTATCTCACCCATTAGCCCTCTTCTTCATGCCCCCTCAACTTGTTCCAATAGCAAGAATAGAATTTGGGGGGGGGATCTCTGATTTAGTAGAGGAGTCTGCACCCAACCACTGCCAGGAATGTGAGGAACTTCAGTTTACTAGGATTGTAACTCTTAAGTTGTATTGGGAAATGCATGTTTCCTGAAGCCACTGGCATAACTCTATAGCAGTGTTTCTCAATCTTAACAACTTTAAGGTGCGTGGATTTTAAGGCATGTGGACTCCATAGCAATATGCCAGACCTCAGAGAAGGGAAAGAGTTTTCATAGATCTATAGAATTGGAACCAGAAGAATAAGCTAATACCATGCTTGGCAGCATACAAAAGTACAATTTTTTTTGCTGATTTAATTATAATTTATTAAATTTATGATGGCCGCCCATATTAGGAGAATCTAGTCAGCTTACAGCATCCAGATATATAATTAAAGACAGAAACACCACATAAGACAAGGCAACCCAGACTAAAAACAACTATATCAATAAATACAATAAAAACACAAAAATAATGGGGTTCCTCAAAAAGATTAGCCCTGGACCTGGGAACAGAGCCAGATCCTAAGGGTCTTCTGGAACCCTAAGAGAGTGGCCATCATATGCATTTTGGGGAGAAGCTGTTCCAGAGGGCAGATCGGTGACAGAGTAAGCAATTTTCTCAGCCCCATAAGATGATTATGTTTAATTGTCATCTTTTAATTGTTTAATTGACAACAGGAGTGCATCCACAGTGCTGAAACAAACTAGGCAGTCAGAAGAAATAGGAGATAATACAGTAGTGGCCAAGATTGTGGAAACCTTTTGGGAAAAGCGTACAGTAGAAATGCCACCTTTGGTTAAGTTTCCACCAATTCTTCTTCTAATTTCTTTATAACTGTAGCCTTGTTCACTTAATAATACTATTTTACATCGCTTTCTGGGCAACCAGTCAACTCTTTACACCATTACTTTAATTTTATTACATTTTACAAGCTCACTAAATGAAAGAACAGAAAAAACCCCAACCAACTTGATAGCGATCACATAACACACTGACAAATGTCCTCCTCCTGGCTTCAATACATGACATCAATAACTGAATCCTACTGTGACCTGATTGGCTCATTGTCAAAACAAGATGGCACCTGATTGGCTCTCTAAACACTCATGTTCATTAGCTACAATCAGATGAAGGAAAGCTACCTGATATCAACCTAAGCAAGTTGTGGTTCCTTTTTCTGGTTATTTGGCTATAACTTTTCATAGAATACAGTACAGATAATTGAACAAACTTTGTTGCATTACATTCTTGATTAAATTATCTTTCCATTGATATATAATTTTATGGTACTACTCCCCCCAAAATGGTGTTATTAGCCATCAAATCTCAAATGTAAACTTTTCCCAAAAGGTTTCCACAATTTTGGCCACTACTATACTTGGGTGCACTGAAACTCAGTAGAAGGCAAAGCTCCTTAATCTAGAATTGTCTCCTAGAGCCTCTGGGAGGCTTCTATGCAGATGATGATGATGACAATGGTGGTGGTCGTGGTGTGATGCTAATGATGATGATGATGATTTCCTCCATCACGTATTCCTCTGATATTCTACTTCAGCCATTGGTGATTCCTTCAGATGTCATAATATTTTTTATAGTCCTCAGTTGTAAACATTTGTCTTCCAGAGGATAAACAATTGCAACTGTGATTGATTTACCTCTGCGATAAATCAAACTATATGTCTTTCATTTTCTTTTTTTTAGATTCAAAAGCAAGGAGACTGAGCTGAAGGGACTTGAAAATACTTGGATTTCCACAAGGCATACTTGGCTTCTCTGCCTCTTTTTCTTGTAATGCTGCTCTGGGTGGCACCAAAGGCACTTCCAGAGCCAGGTGTAGGCTCATGCTCTCCCTCTTCAGCCTCCTTTTATTTTGGATGTCATTACTTCCTGTCCTACTTGTTTGCTAATCAAGTCAAGACAGAGAAGCACAAGGCACTCCTCTCTCCAATTATCAGACTGAGCCACAGGTCGCAAGGCTTTGGCAAGGGTGTGTTTTTATGCACATTCTTTCTTCCAAGGTTCAGCAACTCTGTGCCTTGAGAAGACAAAAGAAGGCCAACTCATTTCTTTTGGAGAGGGCAGAGCAGGTTGCAAAGCACAACTAATTTGAAAAGAAGCCAGGAGACGATACTGGAAAGACAAGCTAGGAAAATGCAATCTGGGGTGGTCTGTATCTTTTCAGAACCTGCAATGATTTTGTTTGGAAGAGTTCCAGAAATCTGGAACAGAGGATTGATAGATTGCATTTACGTATAGAGACTTTGTATATGTCTTCCGAGAAATCTCTTTTTTTTAAAAAAATGCAAATTTCCCTGCTTTGTTCCTTTCCCAATAAATTTCTCTGACCCAGGATTTAAAACATAAATCCCACAATGTAAACTCTTTTTAAAAATGCATCAACTTGTTTGCACAACATTATCAATAATGTTAAGACAAATTTTTGGTACACATTAGCAGAAAATGAGAAATGCCAGG